ACGAACCACGTTACCGGTCGAGTCCTTCGAGTCTGAGTCCGATAAATTGCTGTTATGAATGCCGGCCGCCTTCTCACGCTCCTCCTGAAGATACAGGATTATCAGTCACTCTCTGATAATAACAAATCATCATCGAGTCAAGGAACAGATCGTACCTTCAAGCTCTCCTGAAATGATGAAGCCTGGTATTGTGCATATTTGGCAATTGTGGTGTGGGATCTATGGCTGATGCAAGCCCAGACTTTGCGGCCCAGCTGTGGATCCCAATTTTCATCTGACGTTTGCTGCATCTGAGTTCGTACCTCGACACTGTGATCTGGGTTTGCTTCAACAAGCGTCTTTGTTGAGAATAAGCCAAGATCTGTAAAACAAGCGAACAGCAATGCCACTCGAAGTCACTTTGACGAGTAAGTACAACATGTTCATGGTAGACTGGCCAGTCCTCAGTTTTTCTTTCTTTATTCACTTACATTATTATGCTGCATCACCTGCTTTAGTAAGGTTAATTGTCTGGACTGCAGACTATGTCTATGATGATACCTAGGAGTGTACTTACACCATGATATCTTTATAAATGATCTCACAAACCTCTAGAACTATAAGACTGAAAGATAAACCAGAGAGGGTGGAAGCTGAGAGGCAAAAAGTTGCTATGGTCTACTTTAGAGTATTAAATCAGAATTTGTTAGGACCAAAAAAACAATATACAACTTCAGGATTTCAGAGCAGGGTCTGAGACTGGATACCTCCAGAATGTGAGGTCCACTCTACTGCTTCACCTATTGATCAACCAAACATTTGCCTCAAACTTTCGCTTACCAAGCTTGAGAGCAGCTGCCAGGCCCCTCACGACAGCTATTGGGTGCTTAAGACAGAACTCCTGCAGCTGTGGACTAAATGCATCCTTTTTATTCTCTAAGTAAACAGAAGGAGTGGGGGGAAGGAGCTGTTCTCTTGTCAACCGTTGCTGAGGTGGTTCTGGAGGTTGTGGTGGAGGTGCCTTATCAGACAGAATGCTGCAGTTAGGAACTCCATTCAAACCATGGCCCCTAAAAATGAAAATAAGTTGAAGCTCATGCATATTCAAGTAGCATTACAGGGTGTTACCCAAACGTTTTTGAATATGTAAGATATCTGGTCATGACAAATGCCCATGTAACTAAACACAGAACAAAACTACGTTATAAAAAAGGGCATAAAACAAAAGTGACCAATGACAAATAAAAACAGGAAATCCTGCATTACACATCACAGTCCTCTCTTTAGCTTTGTACTAGATCAAATTTACTCTGCTCTATCAGACAAGTTATGCAATTCTTATATAAAAATACCTATGTAAGAGATTTCATAACAATGACTATTTTACTACACAAACTCATGGTAGCAGTGCACTTTGAGTGCCTTACATAGTACTTGCAGGTGACAACTATGATTGCAAAAACAGCTTTTGGACTCATAATTTTAGTAAGTAATCACACAAACTTAGTGACCATAATGAAATTTGTGGAATCCATCAGAATTTCTTGAAAAACCCCTGAGTTCCTAGCAACACATTTTAGTGTACAGCCACACAAAGTAGAGCCCAGGTCTAGTTTATTACAACCCAAAAAGGCCTCAGAAAGTCCACAACTTATTTCTCATACCACCAAAATTATCCCCATGTTCTGCAGTACATCTATAGGCAAACAGATCTAAAAAATATTACAAAAAACAAGTTCTGGTCTTCTATTAGTGACAATCATTTGGTAAATAGTCTCAATGTGGCAATGTTTGGAAGTACACACTGACACGTTAGTCCAGGTAAAAAACAAGAACACAAACAAATAAACAAACATCTCCCACTCTGAAAAAAATTATAATGTTCCCAAAATGCCTAAAAAGTAAATATTTTTAATAAACAAAAGTTCAAGGGATCAAACAAATAATATTATATTCAAGACTCATGTGTAAACTCTTATTCAGTGATACTCACTTGCAAGATTCAAGCACTGCTCTGGCATCCATCTCAATGTTGTACTCGATCTCTGGCAGGGGCTCACATACTTCAAGCACCGACGCTTCCATCTTCAGGTCTTGCCGCAAAGTTGGCGTGGTCCTGTGAACACTTGATGCTTCAAGCTTGGGAGTGTCTGAACACCTCTCATGCACTGGAGATGATGCAATACTGGATGATAGTAAACTGGCTGGTGTTGGCGTTCCTATCTGCTGGTGATCCAGAGGTTTTGGGCTGGTCAGACTACATGCTACAGGTGATGGTGACTGCTTTATATGAACATTATCTACTGTTGTAGACACTGCACAGTTCATCGTAATTACACTATTAGTGGTGGTATTTATTGTCGTGTCTTGAAGATTTGAAGGGGAAAATGGACCAGAACTGAGTGTGTTAGTAGAATTCTGATTAGACACAGAACTGACAATGCCCTGTGTTGCAGTAGCAGACTCCTCTTCCTTCACATCCAGGTCATCGCTACTGGAACCAAATTGTTTGAGCAGATCTTCAGCAAGTGATGTGGCAATATCTTTTTGTGACAGCAGAGCCTGCAGTTCCTGATCACTGACAGGCATCTCCTTTGACGAGGGAGAGCTGGATGGAAAGGAGTGATGGTATGATACGGGTTCCTGGGATTGTGGTGTGGTGGATGAGGGTGTGCTTGTTGATGAAATCTGTAACAACAAATTGACTTTCAGTTCAAATTCTACCCTGAATAAAGTGAAACAACTTCAAAATTGGCAAGATTAACACACTGAGGACCATAATTATAATACAGCACCCTACAAAAGCCACATCCTAATGTACAACAGGAATTATTGTTAGTGACAGATATCTCTGCTTTTTGGATGAACCTCTTGTAGATGCCAAGGACAGTTTGTAGTTCAAGTCTAGGCAGTATGTAAGAACAGGAAGTCTGAATGTTACACTTAGCAGCAAAAGATCAGCAACTATACAATTATATTGGTATCACTATAAACAGAAGTTTTCAGTAAATGGAACTGCTGTTGAATTTGGACAGTATGGCTTCAGGACATTGCTGCAGAATCTGACTTATGAACACAACAAATTTCCAACTTGTGCACACACAAGGTGATGCATTTCCTTACAGCAATATAAATCTAATAGTGGAGACATAAGTGATAATTTACGAAGCATGAACATAAATAGTTCTACCTATTCTCTAAACATTTCTCTGTATACCAGTCTTTATATAATTACATTTTCTTAATTTGTTTATGGACTATAATTCACTCTAAAAATGCTGTTTTAAAAATTCTGCTAGAAGCAAAAGCTTAGATAGACAGCCAAGTATATGGACCTTGACATATTAGTACATTTAAAAAGGGACCCCAAGAGGCACAAACCTGTGTGTAGCCAGTAGTTGCTGCTTGTCCACCATACTGGTATTGTGGTTGCTGGTGGTGTTGTGTGGCACTGCGGTGTTGGTACGCCAATTGGTGCTCTACTGTAGCAGACTTATAAGGCATTCCAGGTGACTGTTGTGTATTGGCAGTGGCTGCCGCAGAGTAACCGACATTTGTGTCTGCAAACCCAGTCTGTGGGGCCACTGTCCCTTGCTGAGGATAATGGAAACACTATCTTCTAGAACCTCAACATCATTTCTCACATCACAATAAACTTTCAGTTATTCTAAATTTCAGCAAATTAATTTATGAACTGTAAAGGTTATAAAGCATTGATTAGCAAGATGAAATGTAAATCACAAATGAAAGGGTGCAGAAGTGTTTGTTCACTGCCTCTTAGAAGGCACAACACCATAATCTGCCTCAAATGACTGAAGAAAACATACAAAAACCTAACAGCCAGTCTCCACACTGAAATTACAAGATAAGATTTTCCATATATGAAGGAGTGGTAACCACTATCCTGATAAGTTTACTTTTTGGTCATACAGATGTAGCTGTACAACATTCAAAATATCAAATATGTTGCTGACATTAGTCTGCTGACATCTGTGTTGGTGCATGTCCAGCCTTCCTGCTTCAAGTACTAATATGGGCAGAATCTGTCCACAGGAAATTTGTCAGGTAAAATCTCAAAGTTCAGCACAACTGTCATGGCTGTAATTGTGAACTTACAGGTGTGCATACAGTATGGTTATCTCATATGCAGACTTTCTTCAAAAAGGAAAACAAGCTAAAGGCATCATCTTAAGAGTCGAACAAATACCCTATTGTTTAAGTAGCTTTGTCAGAAACATTGTCTGAGTTTATACAGTGCAGTATTTTGACTTTCATTTACCCGAGCTACAAAAAAATTGGTATCTGCAAGAAGTGGACATCAAAACCAATCACATATACAACACAGCATTGAAAAGATACTTAATTACACACTCCTTTTACTCTGTCGATGAATTCCTAATGTCTACAAGTAAGTCGTAATTTATCCTTTGTTTGTATTTTTGTGACATTTATATGACTTGTATTTGTATAACATGTATTGTATTATTATGACTTATTCTACATCCTATTGTCATCTGACTAACTTATGGATCCATGGAATGTAATAAAGATGTATGTATGTAGATGTACAGTCAATGAAACCATTCACAAATGCAACAGAAGAGAACAAACTTAAATTATACTGTCTCACATTCACAAAATCCTTTTCTAGATGAATACTTTAGAAAATCACTGCCTTAGCTCACCGTTTGCTGTGGCATGGTGTATGTCTTGATGACGGAACTCTGCTGCTGATAGTTGCCATACTGACTTGGTTGCGGCGGCTGCTGCTGTTGCAATCGCACAACGCCGACCCTCTGCTGCTGCAACCTCACCTGCTGATGTTGCTGCATTGCTCTATACTGAGCCTGCAACTGCTGCAGTAAACCCTGGAGAAACAAGGCCAACCATGCTAAGCAACATAACATTTACTGATAAGGAAGCAGCTGGCTCTACTGCATGCACAGAAGACAGAACAAAAGAGTGAGTATAAAAAGGAATAACGAAGAATCATAATTAAATTCACCAAACAGCTTACAGTGTGGAAGGGGACAGGTAATATAAAATTTTTAATTCAATTACTATGTAGTTGTGCAGATGACACACAAGGGTGAACACATCAAATCCCTACTTTGTGCACTTTAAACAAAGAATACATAAATATGAACACTTCTCAGTTCACAGGAAGACCTGAGAGAATCATAATTCTGTTCCATGCTATTCACAGGTAACTATGTCTAACACTGAAGACTGATGATCTTACATTATTTTCTGTGAATGGTGAAGGACTATGCAATACCTGCTGTTGAGGTGTAAGATTGGCAGGATTCTGTTGTAAATACTGCAGCATCTGCAACTGCTGCTGATTCAGGTAAAATGGAGGTGGGGCAGTTCTTTGTTGGGCAGTGCCAGGCGGAGGAACATGCGCACCAGGTGGACTCGTCTCTATCGCCTCTCCACCAGTCTGTTCGCACACGATGAACAGCAAGTGAAATTTGCAATATCCTTTTGGCATAGCACTTGAGTTTTGTCTATTCTAAAATACATGCACGATATTAAGTCAAATACTTCAATACCTACATCTGGGCACGTCTGCTGTCCAGTAATATACTTTTCTGAACATTCATTTCATAATTTTTCAAAGGTATAAACATAGCTATCATCCAGATACTGCCATCAGTTTAACACATACAAGCCATTTTAAAAATTCTTCACACCATTGTGCAGACCAGTTATTTTGCCTGAGGATCAAACAGCTGCAACCATATTTACAAACAAAATTTATAAAATACAATTTAATTTACATATTTTCTTATACTGCTTAGAACATTCATTATTCAATCTGCATTAGTAAAGTCATTTACCGCGATTTAAACCACAAAATTAAATGTCAAACCCACACAACATATAAAAAACTTCAAACTGAAGGAATACATAACAGAAGTGACCATGTACCTGAATGTACTCATAGAACAAGTGCAAAGTTTTATGTTCTTCTGGAACAAAGATAGTTCCATTAAAATGATTCAAGAAACAGTACTGTCAATAGTTTCAATCAGTTCTAACAATATCCATGTTCAATATTTACCTTAAATCTCTTTGTCACTTGATTCGCTGTCTGCACTGGGTAGGGTGGAGGTGGCCCCTGCGGTGAAACTTGATGATGACCATTCACACCATTGTGAAACTGCTGCTGCCCAGCCTAGCAACAAAGCAATGGAAACCCAACCTACACTTATTTAAAGTCTTTCTCTAAAAGTTTCTGATGACAGGGGGCTCATTATATGTATATTGTTTGACACTATTGCCTGAGGCATAGTTGATATACATAATGTTTTCAGGGTTGGCATCCATTCCATCTAGTCAATTCATTTTCATTACACAGGCAGACTTGTCACTTTTCTACATTCATATTAGCCATAATGGATGGGACTGTACCACTACCATGCAAAGATATTCAAATCCAAGGTAGTGGAGAAAGGAAAAACCCTTCAAACTAATGTCATATCCGATACACACTTGATGTCTCATTCTTAAGGCCAACAAAGGTGCCCACATCCTACCTTTAAACAATATTATATATAAGCTTCATATGAAAATTGTGAGGTTATGCACAGTACTGTTTCAACTGACCAAGCTTCCTTACAGTATTAATAATGCCACATAGCTACCCTTCCTTACCTGTGTGTATCCTTTTTGAAAAGCAGGGCCACTTGTCCTGTGCTGGACAATGGATGAATTCTGGTGTTGCTGTTGCTGCTGCTGCTGTCGTGATGACATTTCAGCAGAGATTGGAAGGTTCCATGCCTCCTCTATCGATGGCAATTGCCGACGTCTGGAGAGAGCAGAGAAGCCAGTAAAGGAGATGCAATTCTCACTTTCATATTTACACGTAAAGTGGGTGCACTTAACCACGCACAAATGCTAAGGCAATGAAGGACTTACATCACATAAATGGTTCTTAATCAGTCATTCCACGTGATGTTTATTCATTGTGGCCTAAAGTAATCCATTCCGCATAAAATCATCAAATGCTGTGTTTAACAGCCTACCGACACAATTATCTTGTGGTTAAAGACCAACTGTCAACCTCCAGAGTTGATGGCAGGAGCCAAAATCATTGATACAAAGCTTTAACGAGATAACTCAAAGATGTCCAACAAGAGAAAGTATCTGTCCAGTAACAAAACTCCAGCTCTGCTTCCTCGATGTTTAGTCAATTCTGCAGTAAATCTGCAACCAACCATCCATTCCCTTCAACGCTTAGAGTAATGTCAGTTGTCAATTTCTCTTTAGTGCATGCCTTCTGATCTACAAGCATGTACCTTGCATAGCGTCTGCCCATTGTCTACGACCATATTTTATGAACCCTTCTTTTGAATCAATGTGTTCTGCAGAAGACTGAAGTCTGATTGGTGTTACCAATTTGTGATGGAGAATAATTACATTTTACACTCATCTCACTTCAAATGTCTATAATTCAAACATGCAAAATCCTTCTGCACAAACAGATTCTTTCACAAACACAAAGTTTATTTTGGTCTTCAAGCAAACAACAATTTCGTTAATCTCCCAGTTACCAGAGTACATGTTTCTTTAAGCAGGGTATAAATCTGACACTGCTGTATGATGTAACGTAGATTTCTACCTTGGTAATTAAACTGCTTCTACTTTTTCTCTATTGGCAACTGTGATCAAATTATTTGATACTTGAGTGTGAATTTTTTTTATTTCTTTCAACCTCCTTGAAGTCACTAAGAAAGGAGCAGGTGCGAATATGCACTACAGACTGCAACATCACACAACATACAGCAATGCAGATATACAGTTAATGCACCATTCTCACCCTGGTGACTTGTTCCATTACAACACAGGCAGTCTATTCCTTCTCTCTGTTACCCGTCCCACTGTCATGGGTTCGTTACGTTTCTAGCTTCTACAACACAATGCTTGTTTAAAAGAAATTAAGTGTTTTGCTGAGTCTAAGTAGCATAGCAGATGCTTCAAATGTGCAATTTAAACTTTTAACATAATAGATCTTCAGAGTCCTCCCTAGAAGCGGAGTGCTTGAATCTCAGTTTACATAATAACTATCAATTGCACAGAGTATGCGAGGTTAAGGGACAGGATAATAATTATGAATGCTAGATTCAGAAAGGTATCAGGAAGCAGAGTTAATGACACAGCAAAAGAATAATTTATTCAGAACACCCTGATACGGCACAGACCCAACGCTTAAGGTGCCATACACAAATCTAGCGCCTCAGTATGTCTATTTTGAGAACTGGAAGAAAATTTGATAAGCACTCACTTGCTGGTAACACTAGGCATGGGTGGATTGGCAAGATGACTTTGTAGGAACTTGATTCTCTGCTCCAGGTTAGGATTCATGCCCCCGGGCACTCGGCCACCCGGCGTTGATGTCACGACCAGTGTGGCTCCTCCGTTACTATTCACGCTGTTATTGTTTGGGCTCACAGGCCCACCTGGACTTAAGCTTCCCCCACGTGTTGCATTCACGTAACAGGCATATGCATCACGTGGCTGGTTGCAGCTCTCATAAAGGATACCTGAGTCACAAGATCACAAGAGTGCATAAGTCATTATGAGGCATTCAAAAACTAAGTCATTACTGCCAATCCTGATGACTGCATGCATTAAAGTGTGCAGTCTTAAACACCCACACTCCAGGATTAAATATCTAAATTCCACTCACAGCTTAGCTGTACGTCAACACATTTCAGTCTTAACTATGGACGGTGAAATTCTTTCAATCACACTGTCACCAACAGGGTGACGGGGTAACTGTGGATCACGGATCAGGAATATATCAGTCTACCAGATCCAAAGGAGTAGAGGCCCCCCTCTACACTTGATAAAGAAGGACAGGGCCAGATTTACAGATGTGGGGGTCCCAGGGCAATTAAAATGGCCCCTATCAGTATAAATAAACTCAGCTTATATTGTCACATACACCTGGCTGAAGATGATGCCTCCACTCTTCCGCCCTATGCAAGTTACAGATTCATGACTGGTTTCTAGCGATGATTACCTAGACGCCTTTCACCATAAAAGAACATGAATTTTATGGAAGCCGCTGTTTTGTGGAGGCCCCAGGATGACCCTTAAATCTGGCCCTGACAAAGAAGGATTCAACATTCCAAATGTCAGTTTTGAAGGTAATTACAAACCTTAAATTCAAAATAAGGAAATTAGTTCCAAAATACCATTAGCAAACACATTACAGAAGAAATAAAAATCCTTGTTCAGGAGCACCAGTCTCTGCGCTGGGATTCCAACTTGAAGCAGGAGTACTAACAACTACACTGTAATGTTCAGCTAGTATCAAAGCACTATGGCTGTTTCGTATTTAATAAAACAGAATGGCATCCCAAACTACCAAACAATGCCGACCCTGACTTACCCAAGTTTGTCCACGCAGCAGTGTGGCTTTTATCAAGCTGTACGGCACAGATGTAGGCTTGCAGCGCATCCATAGGCTGGTTCTGCTGCTGGTAGAGGACACTGCACACAAACACACACCCAAATTCACTACAGTCCATCTTGTACTTGTGAGCAAGAAATGAAGCTACAGTATTAAAACCAGTAAAAAAATCCATCGCCATTTCAATATTAGATTGATCAACCAACCAGAACATGGCAAAAAGGGGATTGATCTGTGCCTCTTCTTCTAGAATTCTTGAAAATTTATTGCTATTCTATGCAGATTGTTCTGGGTAATACTTCCATTCTAAAATCAACAATGCTGGAGTGCGCTCCTGTAAAACTTCATTTAATATCCACTAGACTGCATGGCACATCATCCGAGAAGATGGCCAGCTTCATACTTGTCACTATCAGAATGTCAAACCTCACAACAATTTTTCCTTTTCTTCCCCATTTGTGGCCCTGTCATTGTTTTAGGTGTGTAATTTGACAGCCCTAATGGCACAAAGTAATAGCAGTTTACTTTTACATCTGGTGTGGAGGAAATTTCTAATTCCAGAAGAAGAGTGTTCATGGTGTCAACTTTATTTTTCATAGAGAATAGACCAACATAATAATTAAACTAAGTTAACATTCAGTTTTCAACATTTTGGTAGTTGTGAATTGCAATCGCATATGAGCTGATATGTAATTAATTTACTAACCTTGTAACATCAATTGTGACAACACTTCTCTAGAGTTCAGCTTCCCTGAACTTACCCTATTGAACACCAGGTGTCAGCATTTCCTTCAGATTTCTCGACCGAATTACGATACGCAATGAAGGCGTCATGCACCTTGCCGATGCTAGCAAAGCAGCGTCCCAGCAAATACAGGCTCTGTCCTGACTTAGGATCGGCTTCAATCGATTTCTGCAGACAATGAATGGCCACGCTTTCACGCTGGCTCTTCTCTCCGAGCGACTCCACACAGTGGTACATCCACCCTACAGCGCATTCAACACATGAAGGAAAAACCAGACGAGGATTAAAAAAACTTGTGTGCGAAGTGTTCGTAAGTTCCAAAGAGTATGTCCTGTGAAGTGCAAATAAAAACCAAGTAGTACTGAATTCATTTGTGAATCCTATAAAGTGGAAGTGTAAAATACCCTAAAACCTTGTGAACAATTAACTGGCACACTTGTAGCAAAAAAAGTGCAACTCTGAAGGCTATTTATCATAACTGACCACTAATCTATGTCTAATACTTCAATAAATAATTATTTTATGAACTACATCAATTATACAGTACTGAATGAGTTGGAAATATAATCAATAATAGGTCAGTAAGTAAGGATTTTGAAGGCATTGGCCCTGAAATTCAACTGGAAAGGGTGAGGAAAACCATAAAACATCAGCCAATAGTTGCACCATGATTCAAACTGGGTACATATACAGAAATCGTGTATCACTATCACAATCAATTGATCAGAGCAAAGTAATGGCAGTAAGATTCAGTATGTACCGAGGTCAGGAAACCTTATTCACCATTATGTTCTGTGTGGGTGAAACAATTTTCATAAATTTTCTTTCCTCTTTTATTTACCATGTGAGCTTCTACTCATCCATCTTCTATCATCTACAAAGAACTAAATGAAACTGGATCAGCACAAGAGTCTGTGTTGTGTTCTGTGTGACTGACAGAAACAAGAATCTCACTTCAACAGAGATACTACCTTTAAGGCAATAATTACCTGTCTTGAATGACTGAATGAAAAAAGTGACCAAAGTCATCCACAAACCTAACTGACGGCATATGTCAGCCTTCAAGTGTGTAGGCAGGTCCTTCTCCTTCAGCAATTGCTCGTAATTCTCTTTGGCAGTCTTGTATTTCCCTTGGACTTCATACAGGTGAGCAATGTGGAAACGAACTGGAATAAAATGAAGTAACATACACAATCAATGACTGCGTGGGGAAGAAAATAAGTCTGCAGAGTTGCGGTACTCTGGCCCATCGCCCAGTGGGATGCCACTGCGATCAGCCACCCGAGTACTGGCGGGAAAACCAGAACTACAGAGGTGGTAGAAAATGACCAACCTCGGCCTCGACACAGAGGACGGCCAACCGGGTGGCTTAGGAGGCAGCCCCTCCAAACCTGGGCCAATCACCCACATTTGGTTTTTAATATGATTCAGAGAAATAAAGATTGTTCGGCCGGACAGCTTCCATGGATGGAGGAGGTGGACCGAGCAATCAACCCCGACGCTATAAAGGCAAAAAGGGAGATGGGAAAGAAGAAGAAGAAGAGTTGTGGTACTGGTGCCATTTGTGGCTGTGTCTATACAGTCAGGAGATGACTAATGTTGGCTTAGTTCACCAATTACACAGAAATTCTACTTGCCAGATATTTCCTTCACAAGATAAAGAAACCACATGAACAAATTGTTGTATGCAAATCATTACAACTGAATTGATCTGCAGAGTGGAAAGGTGACGCGCCACTGTCGATACCTCTTAGCATCTCATGCATCTTGAAGCGAAGGGAATTAAATGAACCGACAGGTTACGCACTGATGAATAAAAACAAATGGCAAATAGTATTCTGAATTAATATTATAATAATATTCCAACTCCTCCTATGCAATACTGAAATAAACACACTGATACAAGGTATCATCACAACTCACTCTCTAACTTGGAGAAGGTGCTTGGGCTAGCATCAATGTGGGACAGTTGCAAGTGTTTCAGTGCTGCATCCCAGTCATTGTTCACTTTGAACATCAACCCAAGCCGCAAATGAACTTCATTTGCACGGGAAAATCCAGGATCAACATACAGCACTTGTTGAAAGGCCTTCACTGCCCTACAAGAAAAGAAACTTATGTTAAGGAACAGCTTTAACATTTATCCCGAATTTCATCCATTTCTTCGCGTACTTATATTTCTCTAGTTTGAATTCCATGCCACAAAAACCAACAAATCACTTCATGCAAGCTTTCAAACAGCGCTCTTAACCCTTGGATATGAATTGGGATAGCTCAATCAGCGAAGTGGTGACTACGGGCTTCATGACAAAGAATCTGTCTAACAGATGCCGAGATCTCCTTCCACAGGATAAAGCTGTCACAGGTGGTATAATGCAGAGCACTTGACATTTATTTGCTCTGGACACTGTGCCAGCCAGAGAAACTCAGAATGGTTGCCTCATGTGAGGCCATGAACCAATTCATAGTCTACAGAATGTTTACCAACAAAATCCTCAAGCATGCTCTTGCTGCGTTGTCAACAAAGTACAACTTACTTGCTCCGTGGCCTTTACAATTTTCTAACTGAAGTATTTTCAATTAAACTTTCTGCACTATTTCAGGCAAATGCTGAAGGTAAAACTACTTTCTTAATAGTTTTATCTGGCTGACTCAGCTCCCACTTCTTCATGTCATGGTGATTAAGCACGGGACTTTACCTTTCCCT